AGGCAAGTACTTGAAATATGAGTTGACTATATCACCTGTACTCCCTGTGTTTCACAGAAAAGCAAGCTGGGCGAGGAGTGAGAGGAATACCTGTATGTATGTATGTGAAGGTAATGCTTGTCTGTGAATAAAGGGAATGTTTGTCTGTGAATAAAGGGAATGCTTGTCTGTGAATAAAGGTAATGCTTGTCTGTGAATAAAGGTAATGCTCGTCTGTGAATAAAGGTAATGCTCGTCTGTGAATAAAGGTAATGCTTGTCTGTGAATAAAGGGAATGCTTGTCTGTGAATAAAGGTAATGCTTGTCTGTGAATAAAGGAAATGCTTGTCTGTGAATAAAGGTAATGCTTGTCTGTGAAAAAAGTTAATGCTCGTCTGTAAATAAAGGTAATGCTCGTCTGTAAATAAAGGTAATACTTGTCTGTGAATAAAGGTAATGCTTGTCTGTGAATAAAGGTAATGCTTGATGAACTTGATGGTTGTAAGTTATAGTATTAGCTGTTGGTGAGAGCAAAAAAGGAAAATAATATCTGGCTGTGAATAAACTGAGATACATTGGATGTTACTAAAAGTATCCGAGTCAAAGAGGAAGTGAAATAAAATAAGTGGGAGACTTTAGACCTAAGGGAATAAAGAAAACAAAGGTGTCAAACAGAGAGTAATGTAGGTTTGCCTTTCAAACAAAATGGGCCAGGAAACAGCAGATAAATGAGCACAACATGACAAGCTGGTTCTCATTAAAAAAACAAATTTATTTTACTTTACAACACAATCACAGTTAAAAAGTGGATCGTTTCAACCGGAGTGCCTGGCAACAAATATAACTGCACTTCTGTCTCTGTTTTCTCTGTAGGTTTATTTTTAAAAAAAAAAAAAAGTACTCAAGATGACTTGCTCTGGATTGGACCAGTTTGTGACAATAAGTAAATGGACTATAAAGTCTGTTCCAGAAGTTGTGACCAACTTCACAAATCTGTCAGATGTAAGTTGTTGAAATTGGCATGCAACCTGTCAATAATTATGTCCAGGTGAGACATTTTTTTAAAATGTAAACATTCAGTTTTCATTTTGCCTGATTTTGGGTACATGAAAAAAAAAAAAAAATGCAGCTTCAAAGCAATCAGCATGCTTATGGTTGACTAAGTAACAGGCTTCTCAAAATATCAAATTACACACGTTTCAGAGACAATCAGAAAATTACCAAACAGGCATTGAAATGAGAAACAGATAGAGTGTGGAAATGAGGACATTCAAAAGAAACCTAAAGCAAATGATGATGATGATGACAAAAGCCAGAGGTACTGGACCGGACTGCATCCATGATGTGGACCGGACTGCATCCATGATGTGGACCATACTGCATCCAAGATGTGGACCAGACTGCATCCATGATGTGGACCAGTCTGCATCCATGATGTGGACCAGGCTGCATCCATGATGTGGACCAGGCTGCATCCATGATGTGGACCAGACTGCATCCATGATGTGGACCAGATTGCATCCATGATGTGGACCAGTCTGCATCCATGATGTGGACCAGATTGCATCCATGATGTGGACTGGACTGCATCCATGATGTGGACCAGACTGCATCCATGATGTGGACCAGACTGCATCCATGGTGTGGACCGGACTGCATCCATGATGTGGACCAGACTGCATCCATGATGTGGACCAGATTGCATCCATGATGTGGACCGGATTGCATCAAAGATGTGGACCAGACTGCATCCATGATGTGGACCGGATTGCATCCATGATGTGGACCGGATTGCACAGGAAACAACAGAATGGAGAGACAGACTGTCAGCCCTATATGACATATAATGGCACAACAGAATGGATAGACAGACTGTCAGCCCTATATGACATACAATGGCACAACAGAATGGAGAGACAGACTGTCAGCCCTATATGACATACAATGGCACAACAGAATGGATAGACAGACTGTCAGCCCTATATGACATATAATGGCACAACCGAATCATGAATGAATCTTTCTTGTGCCAACATAAGAATGTGAACCATGGACCTCTGCACAATCACAAAAGAAGAACCAAGTCTTCTGATCTTAAATGTCAGAGAAACATTCCTAGAATACAACAGAAGAGGAAATACTGATATTCCTCAACAGGAAATCTGGCTCATAAACAACATGTCTAAAAAAAACTGATATTCTGAAACATTACAGTGGCTAAGAAAGAACACTGTTAGAAGACATGGCTCCTGGAAAAGAAGGCAGACGGTGACCAGCATGGAAGTGGGCACAGGTTACTGTAGAGACAGCTAGAGTATGACAATGCTAGACCAAAGAGATCTGGCAATGCAATAAGTGTTTCTAGTTGGTTGTGATGCAAGTGACACAACTACAAAGGATCTGTTACATAATGATGCTAATGAGCCAACCAACAAGAGACTTATCAGGTGCGAGTATTCCTGTCAAATAGGATTTCTTGTTGCTACACAAAAGGTTTCACTCACTCACTCACCAACACACACATACACACACAGATAAAATGCATGTTCTCATTCCTGCAGGTCTCATGAAACAATCCCACAAGCCATTTGTCTTATACTGTACAGGTAGCCAGGTGTCTTATATTGTACAGGCAGCAAAATGACATATTGTACAGGTAGCAAAATGTCTCATATTGTACAGGTAGCAAGGTGTCTTATATTGTACAGGTAGCCAGGTGTCTTATATATTACTGGCAGCCAGGTGTCTTATATTGTACAGGTAGCCAGGTGTCTTATATTGAAAAGGTAGCAAGGTGTCTTTATATGACATCAATATTGTGTTGTGTTCTATGAGAGGATTTCAGTGATACCACACAGGTGACTGCATTACATTTAACATAGAAACGTATACCATACAGACAGCAGAATCAAGAATGAAGTAACTATGTGGTCATGTACATACAATAATGATAACAACAGACCTGCATTCTATAAAACAATGAATGTTCAACAGCACAACAGACTTGCATTCTATTAAACAATGAATGTTTAACAGCACAAGCAGACCTGGATTCTATGAAACAATGAATGCTCAACAGCGCAAGCAGACCTGGATTCTATGTAACAATGAATGTTCAAGAACACAAGCAGACCTGTATTCTATGTAACAATGAATGTTCAAGAACACAAGCAGACCTGTATTCTATGTAACAATGAATGTTCAACAACACAAGCAGACCTGGATTCTATGTAACAATGAGTGTTCAACAGCACAAGCAGACCTGTATTCTATGTAACAATGAGTGTTCAACAGCACAGCATACCTGTATTTTATGAAACAATGAATGTTCAACAGCACAAGCAGACCTGTATTCTATGTAACAATGAATGTTCAACAACACAAGCAGACCTGCATTCTAGGAAACAATGAATGTTCAGCAACAAAAGCAGACCTGTATTCTATGTAACAATGAATGTTCAAGAACACAAGCAGACCTGTATTCTATGTAACAATGAATGTTCAGCAACACAAGCAGACCTGGATTCTATGTAACAATGAATGTTCAAGAACACAAGCAGACCTGTATTCTATGTAACAATGAATGTTCAGCAACACAAGCAGACCTGTATTCTATGTAACAATGAGTGTTCAACAGCACAAGCAGACCTGTATTCTATGTAACAATGAATGTTCAAGAACACAAGCAGACCTGTATTCTATGTAACAATGAATGTTCAGCAACACAAGCAGACCTGCATTCTATGAAACAATGAGTGTTCAACAACACAAGCAGACCTGCATTCTATGTAACAATGAATGTTCAAGAACACAAGCAGACCTGTATTCTATGTAACAATGAATGTTCAGCAACACAAGCAGACCTGTATTCTATGTAACAATGAATGTTCAACAACACAAGCAGACCTGCATTCTATGTAACAATGAATGTTCAACAACACAAGCAGACCTGCATTCTATGAAACAATGAATGTTCAGCAACACAAGCAGACCTGTATTCTATGTAACAATGAATGTTCAACAACACAAGCAGACCTGTATTCTATGTAACAATGAATGTTCAACAACACAAGCAGACCTGTATTCTATGAAACAATGAGTGTTCAACAACACAAGCAGACCTGTATTCTATGTAACAATGAGTGTTCAACAACACAAGCAGACCTGCATTTTATGAAACAATGAATGTTCAGCAACACAAGCAGACCTGTATTCTATGTAACAATGAATGTTCAACAACACAAGCAGACCTGTATTCTATGTAACAATGAATGTTCAACAACACAAGCAGACCTGTATTCTATGTAACAATGAATGTTCAGCAACACAAGCAGACCTGTATTCTATGTAACAATGAATGTTCAGCAACACAAGCAGACCTGCATTCTATGTAACAATGAATGTTCAACAACACAAGCAGACCTGTATTCTATGTAACAATGAATGTTCAACAGCACAAGCAGACCTGTATTCTATGTAACAATGAATGTTCAACAACACAAGCAGACCTGCATTCTATGAAACAATGAGTGTTCAACAGCACAACATACCTGTATTCTATGAAACAATGAGTGTTCAACAGCACAACAGACCTGTATTCTATGAAACAATGAATGTTCAAGAGAAAACAGCATGAGCAAAAATAACAACAATCAGAAGTAAGAAACTTGGGAGGTACTTATTTACACATGTCAAAACAATCCTGCCAAGCCAGGCTGTCTGTTTCAGACAACAATGATTATACAAATATATCCGTTAGCTGAAGCATTAATGGAGCCAAAGTTGGAGCCGTGCAGATTCTGTCAACAGGTTGCACTGTGTTACTGTAAGTATTATTACTGAAAGTAACTGCAGCAGAAACAGTAGAAGATATATACCACAGAAGATTCACCAATATATATATTTTTGCATTCTTATAAAACTACTCTGTGCCCTTGCCTATGAACACAACTGAAGATTTCTGAGAAAATTAAAATATAAAAAAAAATCAAACAAAACAAGGAAAGTCAAACTAATTGGGCTCAAGCAATTCTGGTGGCTGTAGGTAGCAAAGAAGTGAAGAAAGCCTGGACTGTGTTGCCAACGAAGGTCATGATTCTTGCCAGTCTGCTACCATCTTCTTCAACAGCTGGTTGTTGGTCAGTGGCTGCTTGTGGTCCTGGTGGCGGCACATTCTCTGGAACCTGTAATGATGACAAAATTGGGTCAGTATAAACATGGAGACAACATAAATAGGTCAGCATATGTCACAGTCAATGGTCTTAGTGTAGGACATTTCCATTTTTCTAGCAACTTCTGTCAGATGTGGGAGGCAGGTTTCCATATTAACTTGGCTGTTAGTCTGAGGCCATCTTCATCATTATCCCAGTCTGTCTTGAGGGTCGTTTATGTGGGCTATCGTCATCATTATCCCAGTCTGTCTTGAGGGTTGTTTATGTGGGCTATCTTCATCATTATCCTAGTCTGTCTTGAGGGTCGTTTATGTGGGCTATCGTCATCATTATCCTAGTCTGTCTTGAGGGTCATTTATGTGGGCTATCTTCATCATTATCCTAGTCTGTCTTGAGGGTCATTTATGTGGGCTATCTTCATCATTATCCTAGTCTGTCTTGAGGGTCGTTTATGTGGGCTATCGTCATCATTATCCTAGTCTGTATGTGGGCTATCGTCATCATTATCCTAGTCTGTCTTGAGGGTTGTTTATGTGGGCTATCTTCATCATTATCCCAGTCTGTCTTGAGGGTCGTTTATGTGGGCTATCGTCATCATTAGCCTAGTCTGTCTTGAGGGTCGTTTATGTGGGCTATCTTCATCATTAGCGTAGTCTGTCTTGAGGGTCGTTTATGTGGGCTATCGTCATCATTAGCCTAGTCTGTCTCGAGGGTCGTTTATGTGGGCTATCGTCATCATTAGCCTAGTCTGTCTTGAGGGTCGTTTGTGTCGGCCAAGAAAAAAAGAAAAACATTGACATTGTACATGATCTGAACATCAAGGAGTGCTATCTCATAAACAACATTCTTTACTGAAAGCTGAGGTATTCTGGCCATGTTAAATGGCATGGTGGCCTGGGGGAAAAAACCCAGTAATAGAAGGTAGGTTCCGGAAAAAAAAAGAGGCAGAGGCTTACCTCCTGAAGACACTGAAGATACACTGACTATAAAAGCCCACAGGGTTGGAGAACTGGCTAGAGACAGAGAAACTTGTAGACAAGCAGCAAAGAAAGCAGCGTTCTGTACAGAACCTGGCGACTGATGATGACCAGCCAAAACGCTGGCAACCGGCAAAGACATGTCACTTGAGCAGCTAATGCATTAGGCTTATTTTTCTTTTAGAATACTGACCTCTGACTGCATATCATATGTGCGGTAGGAGCCTGTCCTACTACTAGGCACGTCCACCAGGTGGCGGATGGTGGAACAGCCTCTAGATAAAAAAACAGGTGGTGGTCACTGAGAGGAGGCGAGCTAACTAGTAGGACAGCTAGATCTATCAAATACCTCAAAACTCCATGACATGGCCATCGGCGGGTAAGCGACGCCATTATAACCTCTTCCCCTGTTGCCTTGCAGGGCAAGTCTCTTTAGACAAAGGCTATCAGAGTTAAACCCTAAACAAACCGGCGGAAGACAAACGGAAACCACTGCTGTATTTTCCCTAGTAAATCATACCTTTAAAACAATTGGGGAGGCTTCAGCTCAAGAACTGATACATGCAGTTGCTGATAGCAGACTGTGGAGAGGGCATGATCGCTCACGCTAGTCGGCATATCAAATAGATAAAGCAAAACTGTTAAGAAATTATAAATCTGATGACGTGAACATCAAACAAGCACAGGTGCAGAACAAACTTAAGAATCTCTGCTAGCTCAGTTTGCACAGCTTTGTCATTTCTATAAATAGTTGCCAGAGTTTCAAATTAGTAAGTTTTTCATGGATTGTAATAGTAATACTGTCTCTCTTTTTCAAACAATCATGAACTAAACACAGCTACCTCTTCATTCCTGACATCTGCCGGCGTATCTGGCTGCTGTTGTGGCTGTTCATTCTGTTCTTGCTGTTGCTGTTCTTGTTGTGGTGCCTGTTGCTGCTGCTGCCGCTCTTGCCGTTCTTGCTGCTGCAGCTGTTGCCAGTACTTTCTCAATTTCTGAAGTCTGCCAAATGATAAATAATAAAATGCAATGAAAAACCAACATTCAGTAGTCACATGACAATTTTTTTTTTAAATACAGGAAACAGACAATCGCCAGCATTTGTTAACAAAACTCTTCTGTTTGCAGAATGTTGACTAATAAATTCTCAATGTAACATACATTGTGAAAACACAACATAACAATCCCAATATAATCTTAACACAACATATTTGTCAATGTAACATACATTGTGAAAACACAACATAACAATCCCAATATAATCTTAACACAACATATTTGTCAATGTAACATACATTGTGAAAACACAACATAACAATCCCAATATAATCTTAACACAACATATTTGTCAATGTAACATACATTGTGACAACACAACATAACAATCCCAATATAATCTTAACACAACATATTTGTCAATGTAACATACATTGTGACAACACAACATAACAATCCCAATACAATCTTTACACAACATATACAATCTTAACACAACATATACAATCTTAACACAACATATACAATCTTTACACAACATATACAATCTTAACACAACATATTTCTCAATGTAACATACAAGATCTAGTTTGAAGATGAAGTAGGAGACAGTTGGAGGGAGCTGAGAATCAGAGGGCGACAGGCATCAAGAATGACAAATGGCCACACTTTCAAAAGAACACACACATGAAGAGAAAAAGGGGGGAGAGGAAGGACAGTCAGGACAGAGGGTTTTAGCGAGGGGGGTCGCAAAAAAAAAAGGACTGTGTTTTGTGAACAGAGGTGTTTACTAGATGACCGAAAGTTAGGCTTGGTTAGAAGAGACATAGAAGAGACTTTAGAAACAGTTGATAACAGTGAACAACCTGTTAAGTTGTGAAGCCAATGATGTAGCAACCTATACTGAAACATTTGTGGTATTGTTAACGAATAATTGTCGGCATATTTAAATGGACAGTGCATTTCGTAACAAACCAGCTTAACCCTCTGGAGACAACGTGGCCGAAATATTGGCCCGACACAAAGTAGCCAAAAGGACGGCGGGGCCGATCTGCCGAATCTATGTGATACAAGCCTAGAAATTGGCTGGCAGATTTTCTTATCAGCCAATCACATTGCTTCTCCCATTTCTTGCACATATTGGCTGTTCACTGAGGGCTTCTATGAAAGTTTGATGTGTTCGGTAATTTTTGTCTGGGGTTACCTGTACCCAACAATGGCGAAAAGGAGGTTTGCGCCATAGCAGCCAAAACATAGCTGGAGGCAGGATAATGAGTGGAGCCATGTACCAGACAGAAGTGTCTGTAGGGCCTCCAAGTGCCTTACTTTCTAAAACACAAGTATTAGGACTTGTTCATGCTTCATCCTACAAAAAATTTACCCAAATATTTTAGGTTAGTCATGTTTGTTCCCAAGTTTTAAAAAAAAATGCTTGCAAAAACTTATGCAAATCAGAAATGTTAATCTGAATAAATATTGAGATTTCAGTTTGATTTATTATTATTCTGTTAGCTCATTCAATTTCCTACACAAATATATTTAGTTTTCTATAAGTTAATTAAATTATTTATTTTTTATAATGTTTTGTGTGTATAAACTGTGAGAATTCGCTCCAGAAAGCTTCGTCTTTTTAGCACTAAACTCTAAAAAAGGTTCCGTCTCCAGAGGTTTAATTTCAATTGATATGTTGATCGATCACTGGCCGTGTTGTAAAAACAACTGACACACAATCATTGTCTTATATACTTGTTCCGTAAAGGCGCATCTGATTGAGCATGGGGGATGTGAAAGGTATCATTGGACCACAAATGTTCCAGCAGGCAGTGACCAGGGGATCTGGCCAACACTCAATGGAAAGGCAAGACATACAATCAGACTGATAGTGGTACTATCAGAATTGTTTAACTCTGCAGTGGCTGCTGAAGATAAGGACGGTACTAAGGGGAACATAATGTTGGAATTCCTTACAATGTAAAGTAACATTCTCAATGTTACATCATTTTCTTAACACATGATAACATTCTTAATTTTGTCTAACTCTTTGTGCATCAAAGAATGCATCATGCACCTATTTATATCTTTTGTAACTGTCATCTGGTAATGAAAGGGTTAACATTCTTCTTCCCTGTTCACCGTTAAAAAGGAGTCTGGCAAATTGTGTTATGGTTTACAGCTAGGCTGTGATATCTGTGACTTTTGGGCCAACATCTAATTTCAACAAAACTCAAATTAGATGCCTCTTGCCACATGCTTGGTAGGGGGCAGCAGGTTCCCCCCCTCCACCCCAAACCAAATGAGGCCCCAGAACCCAACCTGGAGTTAACTTTCTAAATGTAACAAGGATACATCTGACTGGAACAGACCAAACTGCTGCAGTCAAACTACATACATTTTATAAAAGAAGAATAAATGACAATAGACATTTTCATGGAATTAAATTACTGGACACTGATAAATGAAAATATAAATTATGATGAAACTAAATTATTGGACACTGATAAACGACAATAAAAATTATGATGGAACTAAATTACTCGACGCTGATAAATGATAACAGAAATAATGATGGAACTAAATTATTAGACTCTGATAAATAGAACAGAAATTGCCAAGGAACTAAATTACAAGACACTGAAACAATAGAACAGAAATTGTCAAGGAACTAAATTACAAAACACTGAAACATTAGAACAAAAATTGTCAAGGAACTAAATTATAAGAAACTGAAACATTAGAACAGAAATTGTCATGGAACTAAATTACAAGACACTGAAACATTAGAACAGAAATTGTCAAGGAACTAAATTACAAGACACTGAAATATTAGAACAGAAATTGTCATGGAACTAAATTACAAGACACTGAAACATTAGAAAAGAAATTGCCAAGGAACTAAATTACAAGATATTGTTACAATAGAAAAGAAATTACCAAGGAACTAAATTACAAGATATTGTTACAATAGAAAAGAAACTGTCAAGGAACTAAATTACAAGATATTGTTACACTAGAAAAGAAATTACCAAGGAACTAAATTACAAGATATTGTTTCAATAGAAAAGAAACTGTCAAGGAACTAAATTACAAGATATTGTTACAATAGAAAAGAAATTACCAAGGAACTAAATTACAAGATATTGTTACAATAGAAAAGAAATTACCAAGGAATTAAATTACTGGACACTTAAACATTAGAACAGAAACTGTCGTGTGTCTACTTACGCGTAAATACAAAACGATCCAGTAAAAACTATGAGGAATCTGGAGAGGTTTGAGTAAAAGAAAAGAATGCCCAAGAAGGTGAGAACACGCATGAAGAAGTACATATGATGCAGCCAGTCCCGTGGTTCTCCTTCATCATCTTCTTCTTCTTCCACACCACCCTGGGCATTCATTCGAACATTTGGCCGTGCAGCCTCCTGGGCCCCATTGTTGACTGCAGCAGCAGCAGCATCCGGAGCATGAGGCACCTGCTGCTGTGGATGTGTGTTAGCCACAATGTGTTGTGAGAATGATGGAGGCATCATAGGAGCAACAGACAGGCCAGGGTTGTACATACACTGGTAGCTGAAAAAACACACAATAAATGCTGTGTTTTAGCACTGTGCAGAAGTGACTAACAAAGCACTCAATTATCTATCAAATGGGGGCCAGAGAGATTGTGAGCCTTGACATAACAAGGTTTATGCTCAAACAAAACAGTCAAGTCAACGACCTTTTTCAGGCCATCGGCAAAAGCCACATTTTTAAAGACCAAACAGCACTGGGTGTGTGATGCAGTCAACATCAAGCTGGCTGTTTTTACTTCCCAGAACATTTCCTGTCACTAATTTTAGGCTGTGTAGATCTGGCAGCAAGAGCCTATTAAAGAAATCCACTTGCTGCTGATTGAAACTCAAGATCTTTGGGTTGGTAAGCAAGTATCTAGCCCTTGTACTACTGTGACTCCAATCTATGTTCAGCGACTCTTACATCAAACTATATAGTTTTTGAACTTCTACCCGATGTGGTCCCTATCCATTTATCAAAGCTGTCACTTCCTGTCTGCTGACCATCTAGTTTTCTTCCATCAGAAAAGCAGTGCTCACCTTGCATTCAAGGCTGGCTTGGAAAGTAAACTTGTAAACTATAACCTTTCATATACAAACCTGTAAGTTTGTAAACCATAACCTTTCATGTACAAATCTGTAGTAAGTTTGTAAACCATAACCTATCATATACAAATCTGTAGTAAGTTTGTAAACCATAACCTATCATATACAAATCTGTAGTAAGTTTGTAAACTATAACCTTTCATAAACAAATATGTAGTAAGTTTGTAAACTATAACCGTTCATATACCAATCTGTAGTAAGCTTGTAAATTATAACTTTTCATGGACAAATCTGTAGTAAGCTTATAAACTATAACCTTTCATATACCAATCTGTTGTAAGTTTATAAGCCATGACATCTCATGTACTAATCTTTAGTAAGCTTGTAAACCATGACATCTCATGTACAGATCTGTAGTAAGCTTGTAAACCATGACATTTCACGTACAAATCTGTAGTAAGCTTGTAAACCATGACATCTCATGTACTAATCTGTAGTAAGCTTGTAAACCATGACATCTCATGTACAGATCTATAGTAAGCTTGTAAACCATGACATCTCACGTACAAATCTGCCCTCAGCATGGGCTGATCCTGCTTCCAGTTTGAAAACCTAGCAGTATATACAGGCTGTTAGCACCTATAGCTTAGGCACTGTGAACGCACTTTGGAATGCAGAGTTTCCGGGTTCGATTCAGCTGTAGATGACTTCAGAGCAGACTGCCTTGTGTTGGTTCTGACAGAGGTATCAAGAGCTGTCCATTCAGGAGCAATGGCAAACTGCTGAATGTAAAACTACTCAGTAAAACCACAACATGAAACAAAATTTTGGTTCTGCAACATACTGTAAAGGACGAGCAACTAACTTTATTATAATACAGGCTCAGAAAAACTTTCAGAAAGGTCAGGGGAAAAGCAATGAGCTGAGGATGCTCTAGACAGAACCAAAAACTAATAAATTCACTGTGCATTCCAGTGTTGAGAAGGGCTGCAGACTGTTCTACCTCAGAGACAGCCAGTTTGGCTGTGCACTGTGAGACCAGACCAGATAAGTCAGAGAACTGGAAAACACAACACACATATATAGTGTAAAGGACACAACAAAGAAGTTTGAAAGCCACAGATAAATCACTGCTACGAAGTTGCATGCGGACGGCAACACAGGCGGACAGTTTTTTAGCAGCTGTCCGAACTGGTGGCAGAGCACTTATGGTATATAAACGTGTGCAATGACGCTGTTTCACATCTTCACACGTTAGATAAATCACTGTAAGGGTAGGTAATTATCCTCATGAGGACAGAAACAAATAATAACTGGAGGTAGGGGAAGGTATAAGAACAGTTGAGAATAAATAGGAAAGTAAGAAAAAAACAAAAAAACTTGAGACAATCAAAAACTAGCAGTGACTGATGGGGAGGGGGAACATAAGGTAGACTAATGACACAGAGCTTAACTTAAGGAGAGAAGTAATTGGTTCCAAGGACCTTTTTGAAAGAACAGTAAGCAAGGCATGTCAATGTATTGAGAGCTATAGGAGGCATCATGAAAGAGAACAGAAAGCAACCAATCGACAATCCAACAGGAACAGAGTAGGACTCCATTTATTTTTTAGACCACATGTTGACCACATAAGTATCAACAATATCAATGGGTGAAATCAACAAGTTGACAGCTGGCAGAAACTGGGACAGTGAGGCCAAGTGTGGGGTTGTCTGATGTAGCTAGTGGGTGAGACACACACAACTTACTACATCATGTATTGCATCATGTACTGGGAGTACATCTGCTGCTGCTGTTGCATCATCCAGTGATACTGTTCTGGGGTGTAAGAGGCCGCATCTCCCTGGACAACGCCGGGCTGGTAGGCTGTGTAAGCAAGGTGTGCACTGCAACAAAGAAGAAGACCACGTGTGCTTTTTACTGACTTCACTAATGACTTTGAGAGAATGTTACACAAAAATTATAAGCTTGGATGTGGGGTGATGGAAATGGCTAGGCCACGTTATGAGAATGAATCCTGATATACCTGCCATTACAGCTCTCACATGGACACCAGAGGGAAAGAGAAAACATGGGCGCCCAAAAACAACATGAAGACGAACAATAGAAAGTGACCTGAGTGCGGCATCTTTGACATGGAAAACTGCACTGAAGATTGCACAGGACAGGAAAGCGTGGAAAGTCCTCTCTGAAGCCTCATGTGCCACTAGGCATAACGAGAACTGATGATGATGATGATGATATGGGGTGAAACCTGGAGTAAAGGACTGATGTCCCAGCCTTGAGGCACAGTCAGTAGATGGCGATGGTCACATAATTGTATAGACCAATCAGCACCTGAAGGGGTGATGTTGTCAATATCACGCCAGCTGCCATTACTTCACAGACAATTTCCTGGTACCTACTTTTAGGCTAAGAAAACATGGAAGGCCAGGTCAATTAAAAACATGTAAGTCAATAAGGGTTCAAATCTAAAACCAATGGACCAATAGCTGAGGATGCTAGCCACCGCATCACTATGGAATACACAGTATCCAATACTACTGTAAGGTATGCTGGGAGGGTTCTGAATGGGTGAGGGAATTAATGCCACATGCACAAGGAGAGTTGCGGAGCAGGGGGTTCTATTTAATCTTTAACAGAAACATCTCTGAGCTTACCAGGGACAGGGACCTGGGTCCTTTGATGTGGGAGACCAGTGTCCTTGGCTTTCTAACAGTGGCAGAGATACATGTGCTTCAAACACACTGCTATCTTTACACACATCAAACATGACATTACTAATTGAAAACATTAATTAAAATAGGTGTGCATACAATCCAAAAAAAAAAAAGAGCATAAATTACAGTTTCTAAACATTGTTTGAAAAACATATATGACTGTGTCACTTTGTCATGTACAAGAACACTTCCTTCTCCAACAGCAGATGTCATGATGAGATTAACTTCTGCAATAGGCTGACTCCAACAGATGGTCAGCTCAAACAACAGGCCAACCATCAACAACTTGTGTTTAGTTGTACATGTTAACTAGCAACATATCAAACTTACTTGGCAGGATCATGGCTGCTGGATGGCTGTGGCAACTGATGATGACCTCTGAATCTAACGCCATCACTCTGACTGGTGCTAGCCGTTTCTGAACTACAGGTCCCAGAACTCACACTTGCAACTGGTTTAGCTACTGGACTTTGGGCAGACTGAGAACAGATGTTATCATATGTTTTTACATATATGCAAAAGATGAGATATTTGAGATAAAATCTTTAACAACAACAACAAAACAGATAATATCAGTGTACAAAATATTAGACATTGTGTGGACCACAAAATATGTGTGAACAAATATAAAACACGGAAGCTACAACAGCTTGGCCATGTGTAGGATCAACTTCATGTCCAACATTAGAATTATTGAACAGCACCAAAATATGCTGGACAGATCCCATTCAGAAACACACACAAAATTGTTAGTGTGAAATTAAATATTAGTATGAAGAAAAACAAATGATTAAGAGTGAAAGAAGAGAAGTAATTGACTGTCATGACCTCCTTTAAAGAAGGGTAAGCAAGACAAGTCAATGTGACAGCAATAAGAACCATCAAGAAACAAACAACAAGAGGCATTCACCATTCTACAATACAACAGTAACAGAGTAGAAGGAGCTCCACTGATTGTTTACACCAAATGTCGACCACAAAAGTTTGCTGATTAATACAAAATCAATATGTGAAATCAATAACTTGACAGCTGGCAGAAACAAGACTGAACAATGAGGATGATTGATAAAGGTTACACTGCCACACACAAAATCTGGTACACACAAGAGTATTCAGTCTATTACTGCTAAGAGTTAAACGGCCACACACAAGAGTATTCAGTCTATTACTGCTAAGAGTTACACGGTCACACACAAGAGTGAACAGTCTATTACTGCTAAGAGTTACACGGTCACACACAAGAGTGAACAGTTTATTACTGCTAAGAGTTACACGGCCACACACAAGAGTGAACAATCTATTACTGCTAAGAGTTACACTGCCACACACAAGCGTGAACAGTCTATTGCTGCTCAGAGTTACACGGTCACACTCAAGAGTGAACAATCTATTACTGCTAAGAGTTACACGGTCACACTCAAGAATGAACAATCTATTACTGCTAAGAGTTACACGGTCACACACAAGAGTGAACAGTTTATTACTGCTAAGAGTTACAGGGTCACACTCAAGCGTGAACAGTCTATTACTGCTAAGAGTTACACAGCCACACACAAGAGTGAACAATCTATTACTGCTAAGAGTTACACAGCCACACACAAGAGTGAACAATCTATTACTGCTAAGAGTTACACGGTCACACTCAAGAGTGAACAATCTATTACTGCTAAGAGTTACACGGCCACACACAATACTAAATCATCCATTCGACATCATACACTAGCAGATGCAGCCTATTTCATTTGGGTTGGTTTCATTCAAACAATTCACGCTTGGTCCCCATCCTCAGCAGCCAAAGCAGAGTTCCAAAATAATGGTGCCAGTCATAGTCTGGTTGTATATCCGTCTTGCCTTTCCTCTGAGCGTAGTGTGCCAGTCAAACCCTCTGGTCAAACCCAGGTGTATCATTCTCTCCAGTCCATAATAATCTCTTCTGACTCCGTTACTTGTTCCCCAAGGGCTCTCTCTGACCATATCTGCTTTGTCATGCATCAATTCACCACCCTTTCTGAGCCCTTGAGATCCGCTACTACATATAACCACTTCCATTCATCCCTGTGATTGACTTCTCTTTCCAGTTGGTGACTCCAAGTGTTTGTAGGTCTGCCCGCATTTTATCTTTCCATAATTTTCTTGATCCACCTTCCCATTCAACTTTTTATGCAAGCAATTTCTGTCTCTCTGTTTTGCCATTTGTCCCAACCACCATAGTCTTCTCATCTCAATCCTCTTGTACCTTGCAGTGTCAAGGTATAATTTGCAGGAAAGTGCTTTGTGAAAAAGGATTCCCAGGGGCTCTGTTATATTCTCTGTCCACTAGTTGCCACTTCTTCGCTTCCCGCCTGGTCAGTGTGTCATTGCTTGTTGTCCTAAACTATTTGCAGGTGACCGCGCTGTATGGTTAAACCATTTCACTTGTTTTCTAATTCAATCCATGGCTGCAATGAGTTTTATTTTCCTTGCTTTTAAATGTTTCTGATCTTCTCTCCTCTTGTTATATAATAGTTGTTATATCAGTCTTACATTTTATAATTCTGCATTGTCAATATTTTTTGTTTTTTTTTACCATACACTACCTAAGAGCTATTTGACAGTTACAGTTGCATTGTCAATATTTATTTTCTGACCATACATTACCTGAGAGATGTTTGACAGTTACAGTTGCATTGTCAATATTTATTTTCTGACCATACACTACCTGAGAGATGTTTGACAGTTACAGTTGCATTGTCAATATTTATTTTCTGACCATACACTACCTGAGAGATGTTTGACAGTTACTTCTGTTTGCATTGTCAATATTTATTTTTTGACCTTACACTACCTAAGAGCTATTTGACAGTTACATTTGCATTGTCAATATTTATTTTCTGACCATACACCACCTGAGAGATGTTTGACAGTTACTTACAATTGCATTGTCAATATTTATTTTTTGACCATACACTACCTAAGAGCTGTTTGACAGTTACTTACATTTGCATTGTCAATATTTATTTTTTGACCATACACTACCCAAGAGCAGTTTGACAGTTACTTTTATTTGCATTGTCAATATTTATTTTTTGACCATACACTACCTGAGAGATGTTTGACAGTTACTTACATTTGAATTGTCAATATTTATTTTTTAACCATTCACTACCCAAGAGCTGTTTGACAGTTACTTACATTTGCACTGACAATATTTAATTGTTGACCATACACTACCCGAGAGCTGTGTGACAGTTACTTATATTTGCATCGTCAATATTTATTTTTTACTATACACTACCCAAGAGCTGTTTGACAGTTATTTGCTTTTGCATTGTCAATATTTATTTTTTGACCATTCACTACCCAAGAGCTGTTTGACAGTTACTTACATTTGCATTGTCAATATTTATTTTTTGACCATACACTACCCAAGAGCAGTTTGACAGTTACTTTTATTTGCATTGTCAATATTTATTTTTTGACCACACACTACCTGAGAGATGTTTGACAGTTACTTACATTTGAATTGTCAATATTTATTTTTTGACCATACACTACCCAAGAGCTGTTTGACAGTTACTTACATTTGCATTGTCAATATTTATTTTTTGACCATACACAACCCAAGAGCTGTTTGACAGTTACTTATATTTGCATTGTCAATATTTATTTTTTGACCATACACAACCCAAGAGCTGTTTGACAGTTACTTATATTTGCATTGTCAATATTTATTTTTTGACCATACACTACCCAAGAGCTGTTTGACAGTTACTTACATTTGCATTGACACTGCTGGATGCCGAGGATGCTGGGCTGGAGTCCATAAGGGATGAACACACCAAATGTATGGTATGCCTGCTGGACAGACTGTCATCATACTACAGTGGTGGAAAGAATAAGCAGGGCCAACTGTTAGTTGTGATGATGTATCAATTATCTTCTTCTTCGCGTTCACCGGCTGTAAACTCCAGCGGAAAGTTCTGGTTGTTCGTCCACCTCTGGACTGCAGTCCTGTTCTAGAACCCGAGTGTTGCGTGTACATCCGTTTGACAGATCTGACTAATTTGTATGCAGACCGTTGGTTGCTTGCCTCTCAGGCAGACGCACTCCGACTTCGAAATAAGTTCCCAATTAGTCGACTCTTACAACATGCTTTTGGGTAGGCAGTGGGTCTATTCTTGTTTTCCCTATAACAGGGCTTCTGAACCCACAGGGGGAGTATCAATTATAATAGTGTTAAACACAGAAATAAGGCAAGAATCCAGGCAAGAGTATATGTCTAATTTTATACGAAAATGCCGCAGGAACTATGTCGGCCACGCCCTTAGAATGGATAAATCAAGACTTCCTTACCAAGCCCTCATTTGGACACCACAGGGGAAAAGATCTTGTGGAAGACCAAGGGAAACTCTACGTAGAACTATCATCAAGGAAGGTTCGCTCATGGGCCACTCAAACATCCAAGACCTACAACAAATTGCAACAAACCGCCATGCATGGAGAGTCATGATCTCTGCCCTATGTGCCGCACTCGACACAAGAGGAAAGACTAACTAACTAACTTAACACAGAACTAAGAAACCTGCACTCACTGGTAGCCAAGTATAGACAACTTGTAGCATAACATGACGCTCAACACTGCTACAAACACTGAGAGACCTGACTACAATCGCTGCCACAAATATACTAAACCATATATCAGGTTCCCTTGTTAAAACCTCTTTCTAAGCTTTACAAATCTTGGCCTCCTGGCAAGAAACTACACACCCCCCCCCCCCCTTTTTTTTAGGGCCTAAGTGTGTTAGTATGTCTTTATAAACATTTTCTTGGTTTGGTTCCACATTTTAAAGTGTATTTACAGAATGATCACGTACATACACACACAAATATAATCTGTAGGCTCTCTCTCTCTCTCTGTCTCTCTCTGTGTGTGCAATATCTTTACTACCCGAGAAAATAACATAGTTTCTGGTTAACTTTAATTACATGCCCACAAACTCAGAGAGAGAGAGACAGACAGACAGACAGAGAGAGAGTACAGACAAATGTAAGTATTTCAAATGACTTACCTGGCGAAGGATTTCTTTCAGTGTTTGTTTATCTTGCAGCAATCTTCCAGAGTAAATCAGTCTTTGTTCATTGTGTTTCTGATCCACCAAAAAACATAAAACATATGTTGAAGTGTGAGTGATCAATTAACTATTACAGCTAATGAGATGTTGATCCAGGTAACTACATCTTTCAGTGTTAACTGCTCTGAATATCACATTTTATAATAAAAATATACAGAGTGAACCAGTAACTCTGGGCAGAGAAAGGTCAAACTAGTTTGCTAAATTAAACTCTTCATGTCTGTGCCTGTAATGCCTAGTCTATATGTGTTAAATAACAGCTCTGGTTAGTCTAGCAGGAACAGATATGTTGATAGGCTTTACAGAAAAACTAAGCTATTTTATGCCTTTTGTTTCTAAAAGTTGTAGCATTGTTTAAGTGTGATGTATACTGAAGATGGCTTTGTAGCCATAATGTTCATTCTATTATCCACGGTTGTGTTTTTATTGGGAAGCTGGCTTGTTCTACTTCTGGTTCAGACTGAAGTTTAGCTCTTGCATGTGAGTCATGAATTCAAGCGCCCTGTATGACGTCTACGCCTGGAGTTGTGAACAATACTTGATTCCTGATGTATAAACAATACTTGATTCCTGATGTATAAACAATACTTGATTCCTGATGTATAAACAATACTCGATTCCTGATGTATAAACAATACTTGATTCCTGATGTATAAACAATACTTGATTCCTGATGTATAAACAATACTCGATTCCTGATGTATAAACAATACTTGATTCCTGATGTATAAACAATACTTGATTCCTAATGTACTAAACAACATATCCCGGGTTTAATTTCTGTTGTCTCATCAAGTTGTTATATAAGTGCACCTCTCTTCAACTTGTGTCCAATGTATGCTGTTGTATTTCAATCTACTCTTTCTTAATCACTTCTAAAACCCTTTTCTTGGACATTTACTTCAGTAATAAGGAATGTGTATATTTTAGACTGAATCTACAATCATAAAGCAGCTGCAAGTGAAAAAGGGGAGAAGCCAGACAAACGCAATATGTGGGAAGCCACAGAAAAATCATGAACCAACAAAGAACTGGCATCATCAGCTGCTTCATGCTGTCAGAGAGGTTCCAAGCGCTTGTGGACTGAGTGGTCTAAAATACAGGGAAGATGATCCGTTGATTAACTAACAGAGAAAAGACTCATTGGTATATTAAAATTAATCAATTATTACAACCCTCTTACAGCATAAGACAATCCCAATCAGCACAAAGAGACATCTTATTCAAAGCATATTTATTCCAACTCTGTGCTAACAGTGCCAGACATGGTCACTCACAACAAACCATAAAAGAAAATTAGTAACCACGGAAATGAGATGTCTGAGAAGGGCTGCAGGAGTGACCATAAGAGATAAGATCAGGAATGAGATCATAAGAGAACAAGTCGGCACAGAACCAATTCTGGATTACATACAAAGACAGCAAGTGAAATGGTTTGCCCACTTAGAGAGAATGCCTTGTGACACCATACCATACAAAGCATACATGGAAAGAGAAGGACGTAGAGCACGGGGTAGACCAAGAACAATATGGAAGGATAACATCAGAGAAACTCGACAACAGCACGATGTGCCTATGGTCGAGGCAGCCAGAAGAGCTAGAAACAGAACCTTATATCTCCCTCGACACCCACAGCGGTAAAAGAGGAAGTGAAGAAGAAGAATTATTATTACAAAGCAAAGACAAGTACTTATTTAACATCAAGAGTTTGTTATCTAATAAAATCCAAACATTGTGCTTCTACCCAAAGATAATAGCTGCATTAAAAAGAAAACAGGTCTATTCAAACAAGACAGTTGTATTTAAATGTAACAGCAGTACTCAAACATGAAAAAGAACTTACAGGTTTTGTTGGGTAGACCATCTCTAAATGCTGTTTCAGTTTCTGGATGGTCCATCCAGTCATACACTCAACCGTCTGATCAGCCATGCGCTGGTTTGGGGCTTTGATAACCAGAGTAACCGGTGTGTCTCCTGAGAGTTCCATCGTCAGGTTGTACTGCTGGCTGAATTGTATGTAACAAATTATCCTTGATTTTATGCTGTGTATGGATTTACTGGAATCTGTTCCTCAGCTTGTCTACAGTACCTCTTGACCTGCTGGTAATAATGAATATAACAAGAACATTATTATGAAATTACAGCACAGTGGTTAGTGTACTTCTCTGGTTCTGGTTCAGAACCACTTCCCAGAAGTGGCACAACTAACATTTCCAATAACATTCTGCAAACTACATGTCATTTTGAAGTCACCGATTTATCATGACACAGGAACAGTGTGTGATGCTTTTTCCATCTAACAGTGCAGGTTTTTGGCAAAGCTACAGATATGCACTGATAGGTCTTTCTGGGATGTATGAATTGAGTTTAGTAGGTCTTTTTTAGATGTTAAAAACAAAAACCATATTAAACTATAGCTTAACAAACAGAACAAAACAAAAATTAAATGTTCAGTGACCTGGGTAAAATGGTTGCTTTTCACAAATATTTTTTTTTGGGGGTGGGGGTTGTGAAATTCCTTGTTTGTTTGTTTTAGTACCCAGAAGCCACGAGTTGTTAACCCTTAGGCTCGGTATTATGGATATCGCAACCTTTCGGCCTTGATTCCATTTTAAATACCGTAAATCTGGGAGAAAATGTGGCTTTTCTGTTCACCCCCGGGAGTGAACCCAGACCACAAGGAGTTCGTCACCCGCTCACCGCGCAATCCAGTTTAGCCAACTACGCTAGAGAGACGGGCGTGAAATTCCTTAGTTCATGCCCCTTTGTCTAAGCCTTTCCAGGGTAAAAGAGGTTAATTTACTGTCTTTTAATCATGAAAAAGGGCCTCTTTTAACTGTTTAGGTCTTGACACTCTTCATGTAATGTAACACAAACTCAACTTAGGCAAGCACAATAATCCATAACTATCTTGAACACTTATATGTAAAGTCTTTTATCAACATATAATTCTTTGAATCATTCACCTGGTCTATTCATTACATCTCCTTGTTCTATTGGTATTGTTACTTCTTTTGAATGTACATAAAAAGTGATTGTTATTACAACCCTATTAACTGGTAGACTGCTTTTGGGTTGATTTTTACTGTGCAAACTGAATGCCAGCTTCTCCCCAGATCTGACTATGAGCCAGACAAGAATGGATAAAAAATGCATTTCAAAATGAATTTGCTGTTATCCTTAATGACTGCAACACCTTTGAAGTAATAAAAAAGGACACAAGAGTATCAATGGAAAATAAATTTAATATAGCCGTCCCCAAGGGATGCAATTTTTTTTATTTGAAGGCTCATCCTGAGGGCCCTGAATTAGCTGGGGCATAAATATGACCTAGCCATAGATATAGCCTAACCATTGATGTGGCCTAGCCATAATGTGGCCTAACCTTAGATGTGGCCTAACCATAGATGTGGTCTAACCATAGATGTGGCCTAACCATAGATGTGGCCTAGCCATAATGTGGCCTAACCATAGATGTGGCCTAACCATAGATGTGGTCTAGCCATAGATGTGGTCTAACCATAGATGTGGCCTAACCATAGATGTGGCCTAACCATAGATGTGGTCTAACCATAGATGTGGCCTAGCCATAATGTGGCCTAACCATAGATGTGGCCTAACCATAGATGTGGTCTAACCATAGATGTGGTCTAACCATAGATGTGGCCTAGCCATAGATATAGCCTAACCATAGATGTGGTCTAACCATAGATGTGGTCTAGCCATAATGTGGCCTAATCATAGATGTGGTCTAGCCATAATGTGGCCTAGCCATAGACGTGGCCTAACCATAGATGTGGCCTAATGGCTGAAAGGGGTTTCTTGGACCTCTCCACATGTGATCCTCATCTGCATGGTGGCACTTTGTGTCCCCGGGTGTTGATAGCTTGTGTGATGTCCTAGTGGGGTACAACCACCTACCTACCTGATAAATTCTTACCTTTAAAAACAACAATGAATATTCATACATTAAACTGCGTGCAGCTGTAGTTATTAAGGGTTTTGTTATTGGTATGCTAATGCAGTGCAGTGGTTAGATATTTGCCTGCTAGCCTGAAGGTCCTGTGTTTGAATCTGCAGTGCAGTGGCTAGATATTTGCATGCTGACCTGAAGTTCCTGTGTTCAAATCTACGGTGAAGTGCGTTTTAAAAATGTATGACATCTAGTTTCCAGTCCGATGGTGTACTAAAAAAAAAATCTGGGAGGTGAATGTGGTCAGCCAGATGATGTAACTAAGGACAATACTAAAAGTTAAAAGGCAAAGCATTAAAACTTATAATTATTAAAGACTGGCCTGGCAACATAATTTTTAGTATAGTGTCAGAAAGAGTGTTGCCAGACTTCAAAGAGAGTTTCATCGTCGATGAAGTAGAAGGCGGCCGCAGTCTTAAACTTGACACTCACTCTCAACTCTGACTGACGAGTGACTGTGTGTTGAGTCAGGTCAACCAATAACGACGTCTCTAACTAGTAACTTTTATCTGGAATGTCTAAATAAAAATTTAGTGAGGCAATAATGAAATAAATAATCTGTCAATATACTTACTCAAGTTTTCAGACAATGCTATATCATATGTACACAACAAGTAACGAATTACGAGCACAGGTAACTAACAAATGAGACAGTTTCACTGAAGACTGGTGCTGTCGGCCATCTTGTCACTCGTCACTGCTGTCCGCTGTACGTGGAACAACAACATAAACATACTAGGCCGCCTCCCATTGGCTGGAGGTGCCAGGGGAAGCTACCCCTGGGCTTGATACACAAGCAGAAGTCGTCATCATCACCGTGTACCGTGCTGTACTGTTTA